ACAGGTGGCTTTCCTGTCTTCAGGAAGACGCTACATCGTATAGACCAATAAGCCTCTTGCCTGTCCTGTCCAAGGTGTTTGAGAGGATCCTACTGAGCAGAATATCACCCATACTTAACAAAAACCTAGTAATACCCAAACACCAATTTGGATTCAGACAACAGCACTCTACGGTGGAACAAGTGCATCGGGTGTGTGATAAGATAAGAGAGTCCTATGAAAAAAAGGGATTTTGCTCCGCTGTATTTTTGGATATTCAAGCTGCCTTCGATAAAGTATGGCATAAAGGCCTTCTTTATAAACTAAAAAAGTATCTTCCGCATAGTTACTACCTACTGATGGAGTCATACCTCACTAATAGGATTTTTCAGGTAAGAGAGGATGGAGGACTTTCAACCATACAAGACATCATGGCGGGAGTTCCACAGGGATCAGTCCTTGGCCCTGTGCTATATTCCATCTACACTACTGACCTTCCGGAAACGGAAGGCGTAACAACGGCTACATTTGCTGACGATACTGCAATTCTCGCAAGTAGCAGGGACCCAATCGCAGCATCTGCCGCCTTACAAAATAGCCTAGACAAGGTACATGAATGGATTCAAAACTGGAGAATCAAAGCAAGTACTACAAAATCTGTACATGTAACATTTACTCTGAGGAGGGGCAACTGTGTTCCAGTAAAAATGGGCGACAGTATCCTGCCACAATGTGACTCGGCCCGATACCTTGGTATGCATTTAGATAGACGGCTGACTTGGAAAAAGCATATCAAATTGAAGCGAGACGAGCTAAACATTCGATTCCGGAACATCTACTGGCTGATGGCACGTAACTCTAAACTGGCAATAGACAACAAGCTGTTGATTTATAATATGATCCTGAAGGCAATATGGACATATGGCGCACAACTGTGTGGAAGTGCTAGCAACTCCAATATACAAATAGTCCAAAGGCTGCAAAATGGAATCTTAAGGACAATTTCAAATGCACCATGGTTCATTACCAATACAGATATCCACGAAGCACTGAACGTAGGAACTGTTAAGGAGGAGTTAAAACTGACAGGGACTAAATACAAAACACATCTGGAAAACCATCCAAATAACCTAGCTTCCGCGTTAGCAACTGCACTAAACGACTGAAACGCCATGATATTCAACATCTTGGTGACCGGTGGTGAACGATGAGGGGTCTCTTGCTGAAGGCCTCCCTACACATGTGAATCAACAAAGAACAAAGCTAAGTTCCGCCTGCGGCTTCGAAGTAATGTATTCCGGGGATTTTAAAAACAGCAGCGTTTTAAGCGATACCTCGACTGAAATACGCAAATCAAGTATAAGTTATAATTTATATAGCGCACTCAGGATCATTTTAAGTATTTTGTACGTCTGATCAGCGGTTCCAAGGATTACCCCCTACATACAATCTTATACATTTTACCACTTAATAATATTAGTTTAAGTACAGATGAAGGAAATGTACTTACAGCATCGTCTGAATAACATTGTGGTAATCTGCATCGTTTACTATGACGCCTTTGGCATTTGCAAGAAGTTGAGTTAAATCCCGCAGCAGAACAAAGTAAAGACAGAATTTTATGGAACAGAGTGTCAAGTTCCCTAAAGTAAAGTGTGAGAGACCCATGCTTTGGCACGAATGGGTCGGCTCGACTGGAGTGATACCACGGCCTCACAGAAAACCGGCGTGAAATAACCACAGCGTTGTGTTTCGCTGTGTGAGTGAGGTTACCGGAGGCCCAATCATTCCCCTCCCCCAACCCTCCTCAATTCCTAAATATCCAAATCCCAAATCCCTAAAAGGTCGGCAACGCACTCGTAACTCCACCGTTGTGAGTGTCCATGGGCGGCGCTGATTTCTCACCATCAGGTAATTCGTATGCTCGTTTGCCGATCTATTACATAAAAAAAAACTGCCCGACGGTTGTTGTCGGGACTTTTGTATCGGTTCCAATCGCGTTGAAAACTTTTATACCGCGATGTAGGATCTTGAACGTGATTGGTGCTGTTGCTGCATGTTGTGCAAAGGATGTCGCTATAGAATCATCAACAGACAGTAAATGACCACTGTTAAAAAATATCTCCTCGTCGAACGACAAGTCGCCACATGCATCCATTTGCTCCAATTATGTCATCAGTCCACCTAGCTACAGGACTGCCCACTCTACGTCTTCTAGTCCGTGATCGGCACTTGTTTATTTTTCTGAACCATCGACCGTCTGTCTTGAAATAACTTGCAAGGTTCGGATATTAAATTGCATTCTAAGGCAATTCCTTTAATTAAAATCATCTGAACAAAAGGTAAAAAGTTGATTGTGTCAGTCTGTCGGTCAGTCCACTAGAGTAGCTATTTGGTCGTTCCAAAGTCTAGATTCAAGCGCAATAAGGCATCGAGGCCTTGCCTTGGAGCAGGAGCAGGTATTGGGGTGTAGTAGCTATGTAAGATCTATGCTAGATAATGTATCATCGGGAACAGCCGTTTCATTTAAACATACTCCCTCCAAGTATGACACTCTCTTTCGCCTCAAAATATCAATTCATCATCATCATCATCATCATCAGCCTATATGTGCCCACTGCTGAGCAAAGGCCTCTTCTCACACGGAGAAGGTTTGAGCATTAATCACCACGCTTGCTCAATGCGGGTTGGCGATTTCAAACTTATAATTAGTAATTATAAGTCCAGGTTTCCTCACGATGTTTACCTTCACCGTATGTCAGTGGTGTCTGAATAATCATAGAAAGTACAATATCAATTCAATTTCTTTATTTCAGACTGTGTCCATATAGTGTAGTTAATTCACTAACTACCCCATTTTTAATTAATGCGGATATTCATCTATTGTCTCTATAAGGGATTTTTACTCTCAGCCATTACCCTCAGGTAGCTGTTGAGACTGACCCCTCACCCTGCGCATTAGCGATGTCGCTCGTTTACGGGTTATGGCATGGAAGCCATCCGCATGCGCTTCAGCAAACATCGCCGCAAACAAATAGCGAATATTATGAATTATGACACAGGTAACTTCCTCTACAAAAAGTGAAGATTCCAATGAAGAAGAACGAGCAGGAAACTACATGGTTCAACTTTTTTAATCAGTATCACGATATTTTTTTGTTGTATTAGTTTTTAGTTTTGATTCGCCAATGTTTAGTTAAGTCGCTTATTAAAAAAATTGGACCAAAACAGGTTCACAGTGAATTCTCGTGATCCACAAAGGTCGTCGGACTTTGGTACAAGGAAAATGAAGGTACTAAAATATTAGATTTGAGATCAGACAAAGATTTAGATCCATAGTCAATCAAATCCAAACTGATATTATAAATGCGGAAGTAACTCTGTCTGTCTGTCTTTTCTTGACGCCTAAACTAATGAACCGGTTTGTGTGAAATTTGATACAGACGTGGTTTGGAACTCGAGGAAGAACATAGGATAGTTTTTAAACCAAAAATCTGCAGAAGTCAATATACGCGCGCGGGTGAAGTCGCGGGCAGTAGCAAATTCGAGTGGCCGAAGATCTTTGTGAGGTCCCTGAAGTCCAGAATGTTTCCTTCAATGGTTGGAGCCTGAGGAATATAGTTCACTCACGCGGTACGCTTCCTTCATTGCTTCGCAGGAGGAGGAGACGACTTTCCCTTGCTCCACATCGTCATCATTAGTCATTTATGAAACTACTAGCTTTTGCCCGCGACTCCTTTCACGTGGAATAGTAACTTTCTGCAGATTTTTGGTATAAAAACTATCCTATGTCCTTTCTCGAGTTCCAAACTATGTCTGTACTAAATTTCACAGAAATCGGTTCAGTAGTTCAGGCGTGAAGAAAAGACAGAAATACAGAGTTACTTTCGCATTTAAAATGTTAGTTTGGATTAATTTCATTAGATTTTATCTCCATCATTAAAATGATTAATAAATAAAAAAATCGTTTACTTGTACACATTAACACTTAGAACCAAATGTACCTATGTACATATGTACATTAATAAGCAAATAACAATGAACTCTGTTTTCAAATAAACCATTGAAAGTTGATCCCTGTCACCGTACAAAAAGCATACACTTAATAGATCTTTATGTATTAGCTGTATTAACCACATAAGCTAGACCCTTAATTCTATAAGGTTAGTACATAGAAATAGGTCTTATGTAATTGGTGTTTGTATGTATACTTAGATACTTCTTTGATAGAACCTGTTTCTTGGCTAATTATTGTGCACTGCGAATAATGTTTGGTCATAGATTATTTACTGTGTCAGATCAGACGTGACGAAAGTCGACCGGAGTCCGGAGTAATACTACGGCCTCACAGAATACCGGCGTGAAACAACCACAGCGTTGTGTTTTGTCGTGTGAGTGAGGTTACCGGAGCTCTAACTCTTCCACCTCCCCTATCCCTTCCGGATCCTTATATCCACAACCACTATCCCCAAAAGGCCGGCAACGCACTCGTAACTCTATTGGTGTTGCTTGTGTCCATGGGCGGCTCCGATTGCTCGTTTGCCGACTTATAACATAAAAAAAATACTGAGCACTGGTAATTTGCGCTGGGATATATTTTTCATTCCATCCCATTCGTTGCGGCGGACGCCTGTCGGCGTTTTTTTATTTAATATTCAAGTGCGGAATACGCCACTCAGCGTCTTTTTTAAATTGCTTATAAATTTGCGAAAATAAGTCCCAAAAAAAAAATTGCAACCACACATCTTTTTGAAAACTTAGCAAGGCACTGCTCGCCGTTTCCGGACTTTTAACTTTTAAGAAAAAATTTCGGGGGTTTTCCAGGATTTAACAACCTTTGATTCTAAATATATTTAGTTATAAATATAAAACGACAATCGGCGTTTTATATTATTCTAATGAGAATGGCTGATGCCAACAACTACAGCTTTCTGCCTACTGGTATATCTGTTTAACTAAGGTCAGCTGTCAGTTACAATCACTAAGATATAGCCTGGCTGAGCTCCACTCGACTCAGTGCCGACTGAGCTGCTGAACCAACATGACCCTGACCAGGATCTTGATTACCACAATCCTTGTGATTTATACTGTAAGTAATAGTATACGTATACATATTTTATCTACCTATATCTTCTTATATATAAAAATGGATCGCAAAATGTGTTGGTAAGCGCATAACTCAACAACGCCTGGACCAATTTTGTTAATTCTTTTTCTGTTGTGTTTGTTATTGTCAGGAGAAGGTTCTTATTAAAGAAAATATTAGAAAAGTAGAGGGGAAGATTAGGAAAAGTGACACTTTGATAGCAAGATAGTTGGACCCTAGCGAAGCAGTGGCGGGCCGCTAGTAATATATAAAAATGAATCGCGAAATGTGTTTGTAAGCGCATAACTCAATAATGCCTGGGCCAATTCTACTGATTCTTTTTTGTTATGTGTGTTATAGTCAGGAGAAGGTTCTTAAGAAAGAAATTTTAGAAAAGTAGAAGGTAGAGTTGATTAATAGGACCCTTTCATCGTAAGCGAGATGATGAGACCCGTCCGAAGTAGGGGCGAGCTGCTAGTCTCTAATAAAAGTACTGATACAAGACAAGTTTAGGAGTAGATATTCAGATTTTTTCTAGACATAAACATTGTTATACATATTTCTTTCGTAACCGATTCAAAAAAAAGAGGTTTTTTCAATTCGACCGTATATTTTTATATTTTTTATTTAAAAAAAAACGTTGCCCCACATTAGGTATTTTTCCTGTGTCGTGGGTGCGGTTACAAACATACAATTTCACATATACATGACACCCAGACCCGGAACCACTCTTTGAGGATCACACAAAGAGTTTTTCCGTGCGGGAATCGAACCCGCGACACGTTGCACGGCAGCCTTTTTAAATAAGACCAATATTTATTTCGAACTATTAGTTGGGCACGGGTAGTGACTTTTGCTCTTGGTTTCTCCGTGTGAGAAGAGGCCTTTGCTCAGCAGTGGGCGCTTATAGGCTGATTATGATAAACAAATAAAAGTCCATGCATAGAAACGTCTCTTTTACAGCTTCCATGGAGGTTAAATACATATATAACTCTATGGTAAGGCCATTCGAAACTAATGTCAAAATCAATTGACATTGTGTCAGACATTACAATGTTATAAACACAATATATTATGTAAACAAAAATAACAAAAACTACAACATGTTAATTAATTAATAAAATGTTTAATTATTTAAAACGAAATAAAAAGCAATAATGAATGTTAACGATAGGATTAAAAACCTTCAAAACTTCGCGGAAGTATTTAACTAACAAAACTGTGCAAGTAAATACAGGACAATGCAATCTATATTTATATCTATACTAATATTATAAATGCGAAAGTCACTCTGTACCTCTGTCTGTCTTTTCTTTAAGCCTAAACTACTGAACCGATTTCAGTGTCAAATTTGGTACAGACGTAGTTTGGAACTCGAGACAGGACATAGAATAGTTTTTATACTTATCAAAAGTCGAAATGTCGGATGTCTATGGACGGCGGAAAAGTTAATCTTCGAAATTCAATAAATACTTAGAAGACTTTATCTAAGTGATAAAGTCTAAGCTTAATAAAAGTCTGAGATTAATCACAAAATAAAGCACTTTAATTTAATTAAAAAACTATGCCAAAACGGACTCTTGAAGAGTTTATAAGAGATTACAACTTGAACAAACGAATTCTCCGACCAAATCCGGATTCGGAGGAGGAGTTGGACCGGGTGACGGAGGTGACTGAAGAGATTGCAGCCAGGATCAAAAGTTATACCCGGGATTTTCGAAAGAGGAAGAAAGTTAAACCGGCTTGTAGTTGCCAGGTGGTTATTTTGATAATAATAACAAATAAAGTTTGTTTTTGCTTGTCTTTTGGATGGGATCAAGGGACAATTCAGAGAAGCTGGTCTTTTGTTACATTGGATACGGCAACAAATTTAATATTATTATCAGCAAATTAAACGCCCGGTTTCTGAAAGGCTTGTCAACGCTAAAACTATTAAATCTCTTGTCAAGTCATCTGATTGGTTGTTGATAATTCAGTCAACCAATCAGATGACTTGACAAGAGATTAAACTGATTTTAACATTGATCGGCCTTCCGGAAACCGGGTGTAATTAACTTAATATTATTTTATAGGTAAGCTAGTAATAGCCCTCCTTTCCGCTCTTTGCAACGCCTGAAAAAGGCCGTTTTAAGCTATGCCTGTTATTTGAAATTAAGATCCTTGTATCTACCTAACATGCAAATAAAGAATTTGAATTTAAATTTGAAATAAGCAGTAATTTGCTGACATATCACATAAAAACAGACGAATCACCAAGTGGTAAGCAGTCAGCGCCATCTATAGATATCCGCAACGTTTAAGAGTGATGAGTGTTGACGGTCTTATGGGATTAGGATTTCGAAGATTTTGGGATTTGGGGAGGGAAAGGATTGGGCCTCTGATAACCTCTTTCGGACGGGGAAACAACTATGTTGCTTTAGTTTTATCACGCCGGTTTTCTGTGAGGCCTTAGAATCATTCCGGTCGAACCAAACCAGTCGCGTCGAAGCTTGGCTCTCCCACACTTATTGCGATATTTACTTATTACTCACAGCAATTTTTTTGTTATTACAAATTTTAGTAGAAGTACGCAAATTAGTTAAATATATTTAATTTGATGTATCATCAATAAACGTAGCATTTATAACAAGTTTTAATCAGCTGTCAAGATCATCACAGATGTCTCTGCGATTTCTGTCGTGAGACAATACCTAACGAGTTATTGTAGATTTATATTAATTACATATAATTAAATTTCAACAGGAAGCAGTAACCAGACCAGGTGTGGCACCTCTGGTCCAACTAAACGATGGAAAGCAGATACCAAGTCTCGGACTAGGCACTTGGCTTGGTTTTAGTAAAGAAGTAAGTTGAGAACAACGCCATCTAGAAGCGAGTAGTGTTACTACTTGGAAACGCTGATTCCTAGACCTTATTGTAGTTCGAAAGTGAACCGCTTAGATATTATGGCGCTTTTGTTGTTTTTGATCTGATTTTTTGAGAATAAAATATAGTTATTACTGCTTTGTTTACTTATAAACAGTGGATAAATCATAAAAATTTGGAAGAAAAAAACTACATATAAATAATGCTTGCACATTATATAACTTTCCTAGTTCCAACTTTATTACTTCTGACAAGAGTTAGATCCTGTTTTTACTAATTAATTCTATGGTTCTCAGGGTGGACTGCTGCCGGTGGTAGATGACTCGGTGCAGCGCGCTGTGGAGGCTGCCATCGATGCCGGGTACAGGCATATTGACACCGCCGCCATTTACGAGACTGAGAAACAGGTATCTTTTTATGACATAGGTTGACCAACGAGTAAGTAAGTAGATGTAATAGCTGATGTAAAGATTGTAAGCAAGCATCCCATCATCATCATCATACCAAAAGTATGAATTGAAGATTGGGGTATTCGGGAATAAGTGATTAGGAATTTGGAGGGGAGGTTTGAGTTTCTAATAACCTCACTCACACGGCGAAACACAACGCTTTGGTTCAACGTAGAAAAGCTATACCTACTATTTTCAAGTCACCACTTTGTTTTATCCATGGGCAGCGTCAATTCATATATATATGTACACAGATAGACAGTGTAGAGCTTCATAATGTGTCATGTCAGACACCGATCCCGTGAAAACATGGTCCGTCATAGTCAGAGAAAATAATTTCTATGGCAGCTTACGCATAGCATCCGTCATCCGATTTCTTTCAAGTATCCGAATTGGTCCTAATTTTCTCGTTCTGTTTTTTCACGGTTCCGGATCGGACGTTGTGCCAAAGCCGCCTTACTTGACCTGCGGGTGGAGTAAGAACCAACAAAGGGCCTACACCACAGAATATAATTACACGACCAACCAAACCAAACATTAAATTGAGATAATGATAAACCCTTCTTATTCAGAGGTTTATGGAATTGTGTCCGAGAGACTATCTCTGGTCACCGTAAGCGCGGGTCTGCGATCAGACGGCGAGTAAGGCAGCTCGCCGCCCGACCAGAACCAGACCCGAGCGTACGGCGCTTAGCGTTCCGCGGGCGCCTCAAAGAACCAATAGAACCTATAGGGCTGATGTTTAGCTGGGGTTGCGTGGTAAGCGCAATGAGGCACCGCGACCTCGGCCCAGAGCAGGAGAAGAAACCGGGGGGGTTTTTAGCCAGTAAGAGTATGACACTGCCTCCCGCCCGACCCTGGGCGGGAGAAATCATTTGATGATTTTCCCATCACAAAATAAAAAGAATTAGGGCAGAAACTTTTTGTTCTTCAAATTTTATTTTTTCTATGTTACCTATTGTTTTGAACAGGTGGGGACTGCGATACAGAATAAAATTGCAGAGGGCGTCGTGGCGAGGGAGGACCTCTTTATTACCTCCAAGGTATGTACATTACAAGCTATTTTATTACGGTTATGTTTGATAAGCCTTTGCCTGTATCCTTCCACAGTTCGCCAGTCTTAACTGTTAAAATTACAACAAGACTGCTTAACTTTTTTACTTAGACTAAGTGTTGTTGAGTGCCTAGTACTCACGGAACTCACCCTTTAACTAGTAAAAAGTAATCGCTTGTTATTTTTTTAAAAAAAGGACATTGCTGCGTGCTCCGATTTTCTCCTGTTTCGTGGGTGCGTTTACAAACATACAATTTCAGTTACATTTCACACCTAGATCTGGAACGATAGGTTATGGATCACACAAAGAGTTTTTCCATGCGGATATCAACAGTTTTTCTATTGCCGTCAACTTGCTTGTACCATTTACGAAATTCTTCGGAAAATAAAAGCCGTGCCTTGGCGTATTTTTTTTTTATGTGATAAGTTGGCAGACGAGCAAACGGGTTACCTGATGGTAAGCAATCAGCGTCGCCCATGGACACCCGTAACGACGGAAGAGTTACGAGTGCGTTGTCGACCTTTTGGGGATTAGGGATTTGGAGATTTTGGGAAAGGGAACGGATTGAGCCTCCGGTAACCTCACTCATACGGTGAAACACAACTCTTTGGTTATTTCACGCCGGTTTTCTGTGAGGCCGTGGTATAACTCCGGTCGAGCCGACCCATTCGTGCCGAAGCTTGGCTCTCCCACACTAATGTTGCTATTATATCTAAATATTAAACTATGTGTATATTTTCAGCTGTGGAACGACCGGCACGCCCAGAAGGATGTTGTACCGGCCCTGAAAGAGTCCCTGGCGAGATTGAACCTGACTTATTTAGACCTGTTCCTGATACACTGGCCCATAGCACAGTTTGTGAGTACCACACCACATCACACATGACGACGAACGGAAATATGTACTAGGAATTTCGACGCCCCGCTGTGCTAAAAACTTTACACACACTTACACTTTTAAAAAATACATAAAGCACCCAGTTTCTCAACAATAAACAATTTATGAAGCGTTATATTTATGTGGTAGGTACAAGTTTTTATATCTCCATTGTTTCAAGTCCAAAATCAAATCGATTCTCATCAAATTTGGCTCTCGAACGCAAAATAATCAGAGGGCCTACCACGACGTGTAAAACTGTGAATCTTTCGGGTGAAAAAGAGGGATGGAGATATACAGCTTTTATAGCTCCATCCCTCTTCTTTAAACTTGCTATAATCCATTTCAAAAACATGCTTAAGATAGTAGTGAGGTAGTGAGCGTGAATATAACTTTGTGTGAAAACTTGCAATAGTTTCCTAAAGTTTTGATCAATGTTTTTATAATAACTATCGTGAGACATACTAAATTAACTAAAATTCGCGGGTTACTCACGTGTAAATGATGAGAAAAGCTCTACTAGTTTCGAACCACAGAGGGGTTCTTCCTCATGAGCAGCGTGCGCGGACGCGGCGACGTCGCGCAGCCTACTGGTTAGCGTTGGCGCCTGCATCGCTGTTGATGGTTGCGCTGCGGCGAGTCCAACGCGCCATCTGCCGGATACCACGCGCGTTTGCTGCCATCTCCGGCGGCGGCGCGTGTGACGATGTTGAGGCGCACGGTACGTTCACCAGTGGCGCGGGTAGTGGGTTCGATTCCGGGCCCGGCACAAAGTCTGTGTTACATATGACGCTTACTGTGTCACACTCCAGACTGGATACGCTTCGGACCGACGTAGTCTCCAAGCTCGGCTTCCACGCGGGTGGCAATGCCCAGCCACCATCCCTGTTGAAGCACGGAAGCACGGAAACGAGGGAGAAATACTTCGTTCCGCGAAAAGTGCGAGAGGCCATCGAGATTAGCCGACGTCCGTGCGTCGCTCCCGTAATTTGACTACCTACCCTACTCTACCTACCCTACCTAGCCTACTCTACTTACCCTACCTACCCTACTTTACCTACCCTACTTTACCTACCCTACTCTACCTACCCTACTCTTCCTACCCTACTCTTCCTACCCTACTCTTCCTACCCTACTCTACATACCCTACTCTACATACCCTACTCTACCTACACTACTCTACCTACCCTACTCTACCTACCCTACTCTACCTACCCTACTCTACCTACACTACTCTACCTACCCTACTCTACCTACCCTACTCTACCTACCCTACTCTACCTACCCTACTCTACCTACCCTACTCTACCTACCCTACTCTACCTACCCTACTCTACCTACCCTACTCTACCTACCCTACTCTACCTACCCTACTCTACCTACCCTACTCTACCTACCCTACTCTACCTACCCTACTCTACCTACCCTACTCTACCTACTCTATCCTATTCTATGTCCTTCTCCTGGCTCTAAACTACCCCTCTGCCAATTTTCAGCTAAATCGGTTCAGCCGTTATTGAGTTATAAGTGGTGTAACTAACACGACTTTCTTTTATATATATAGATTAAAGTTGGTTCAGTAGAGTCCAAGATTTTGGTCTTGTAAAGTTAGTCTCGAATCGGAGAAAGAGGGTCGTCTACAAAAGAATAGCCTTCCAAATTTGAAGCGGTTTAATTTTTGCAAAATCTTTAGAATTCAAAACTGAATTTACAGGCGAACGGTACATACGATGAGACAGACTACGTGGAAACCTGGAAGGGTATGATAGAGGCCCAGGTCCTGGGACTGGCCCGCTCCATCGGAGTGTCCAACTTCAATGCCCAGCAGCTCGACCGACTCATCACCATGACTCCTGTCAAACCTGCTGTGCTGCAGGTGGAGGTAACTGTCACCATACAATTAGATTTATGAGGTTTTCTTCCGGCCGGCTGCTGCAAACGAGCTGATTGTTTGATGGTAAGCAAACGGCCGCCCGTGCAACACCAAACGAGCACTTTACCGGCCTCTGGAAGGTAATCGGCAATATAATGCAACGAAAAACACTGTAATTAAGGTTACCGGAGGTCCAATCCCTCCCCCTTTCCAATCCTTAAATACCCAAAACTTTTTCGTAACTCCTTTGGTGTTGCGGGTGTCCATGGGCGGCGCCGATAACTTACCATCAGGTAATCCGTCTGCTCGATTATAAAAAAAATCAAAGAACTCAGACCACATGTCCACTTTTAAAAATTGTTTTTATTTTTTTTATTTAGCAGATTTATTTATAAATTGTTTATTGTTTTCTTTTATTCTCTGGAAAAAACCACAAAGAGAAAGGCCTCCGTTTTAAGTTTCGGTGGTCCAGTGGCTGGGCAACTGGCTGCCGTGCAACGTATCACGTGTTCGATTCCCCCACGGAACAACTCTTTGTGTGATCCACAAATTGTTGTTCCGGCTCTGGGTGTGATCATCCACGACACAGGAGGAAGTCCTAGTGTGGGGCAATATACCTTAAGAAACGCGTTGTTCTTTTATTTCCAGGTGAACTTGAACTTGCAACAGCCGGAGCTGATCAAATTCTGCAAGGAGCAGGGTATCGTGGTGGTCGCATACACGCCATTCGGTTCCCTGTTCCACAGCAAGGCGGCCCCCGACGCCCCCCCTCCTAGGACGGATGACCAGACCCTGCTGAAGATAGCTGACAAGTACCACAAGACTGTCGCACAAGTCAACTTGAGATATCTTGTGAGTATTATGGAATTAACGTCCAAAGAATCGTTACATTACATCACATTTCTAAGTAGCCGCCAACTGCACGGTTGGCGCGGTGGCTCGGCAACTGGCTGCCGCGCAACGTGTCGCGGGTTCGATTTCCGCACGGAACAACTCTTTGTGTAATCCGCAAATTGTTGTACCGGGTCTGGGTGTGATGTGCATGTGGAATTGTATGTTTGTAAACGCACCCACGACACAGGAGAAAATCCTAGTGTGGGGCAACGTTTTGTAAAAAGGAAACAAAGAAAGAAAGTTGCCCAACCATTGGGCTGGTCACATGTTGAGAATGAGAAGCAGCTTGACACTTGTCACTACAAAAAAATATAAGTAAACAATTGAGTATTTTCCTCGGTCAAAATAAATTCCTTCAAGATTTCAAACACAAGATTAATATTCAAAAATAATCGCACTTTATTGATGGATTTGATGATATACCTACTTAATTTTAGATTTTTTTGGTTACGTTTTAAGAAAAAGTAGGTATGTTGATTGACCCAAAAATATTCAAAACAGTTTTGTTTTATCATTTCAATAAGAGTATTCAATTTGACTAGTTGTCAAATACCGCATTCTAATAAAAATAAATAGATTTCTAAATTGAAAATCTAAATTTGGTTGTAGCTATTCACCGATAGATGGCGCTAAATCAATATTTCACTTGCAGATCGAGCTAGGAGTCATTCCAATCCCGAAGTCAGTAACGCCGAAACGTATTGGAGAAAACATAGAAATCTTCGATTTCCAGCTGACGCAACATGAGAAGGATCTGATGAAAGCGTTTGATAGGAACTACAGGACCATAGCCGTGCCAATGTGGATGGACTCACCGTACTACCCATTCCACAAGAAATAAAAATAAATCTATCATTAATCTACCTCGTGTTTTACTTCCCTTTTATTTGTTTTAATAAACGATATCTTTATTAGATCGTCGTGGTGGCCCGGATTATCGTCGTGATGGCCTGGAGGTTAAGACGCCCACTTCTCATGCATGAGGGTGCGGGTTTGAAACCTGGCGAGTACCAATGTGACTTTTTTCCGAGTTAAGTATATGTATGTACTTTCTATGATTATTTAGACACGACAGACATACGGTGAAGGAAAACATCGTGAGTAAACCTAGCTTTATAATTTCTATTATAAGTTTGGAATCGCCAATTGAATTTTGAGCCAGCTTGGTGATTAACGCTCAAACCTTCTTCGTGTGAGAAGAGGTCTTTGGCACTTATAGGTATATGAGCGGTATATGATGATGATGATGTTAGATGCACACGTCTCAAGATGGATTACCTGATGTTAAGCAATCAGCGCCGTCCATGGACACTAGTAATACCAAAGGGAAAGCAGTTACTGAAAGTGCATTGCCGGCGTTTTGTGGGTTGTTAGGGATATATTTGGAGATTGACCATGGAGGGGAAGAATGGTCCTCCGGCAAGCGCAATGGGGCACAGCGGCCTCGGCCTAAAACAGGAGAAGGAACGGGGGTGTTCTCAGTCAGTAAAAGTCTGATACTCCTTCCGCCTCATCCTGGACGGGAGAAGGCATTTGATGATTTTGCCCATAGAAAAAAAAAAGGTTTTTAAAAAGACTTTTTTTTTAGTTTCCAACATTAGAGATTTCCAAAGACAGTTATTTCACCTGTACCGATCGATTATCCGCGAATTTATACAACACACTACACATAGGTATCTAAGGCAGATCATTCAGCTTGGTAAGTCCAACTTCGATAAAAATATTCAATTCGGACGGACTTTCAATAGAAATCCCGCAGTGCCACTGTGTAGAATCTGTGATGACATACGTTACAGAAACAAGGTCCTTTTCGTCTGGTCTTTAGGAGAGATTAGGTCTTTATGCCGCCCAGCAAATGATGGAGAGAGCTGTGCTTAGAGATTCTTTGTGGAAGATAATCAGAAATCCAAATCCAAACTAATATTATAAATGCGAAAGTAATTCTGTCTGTCTGTCTGTCTGTCTTTTCTCCACGCCTTAACTACTGAACCGATTTATGCGAAATTTGGTACAGACATAGTTTGGAACTCGAGTATGGACCTAGGGTATTTTTTAATACAAAACCACACCTGACCAATATTGATACATACGGATCAACAGGCAGCGGTTGACTGGCAAACTCAATTAATAGGCCCCCGGAGACGGCCGCTAGCATGCAGCGACAAGGGGGCAACAAACGTTGAGCTGCTTGGAGAAGGAGAGGCATCCAACGGCTATCAGAGCAATCCCGGAAGTACGGTCAAGACCCCTACCAGCACCTTACTGAGATACATCCTTCCCCCGAGTCTCCTTCAACTCCTACTCTTGCGAATCTCCACTCAAGCCAGCCAATTAAGGCAAGAATGAGGTAGGAGGGCTTGTTCTTCATCTGTGATCACTCCAGCTCGTCACGAGGACTAACCGGAGATGAAAAACAAGACACCTCCCGGGAGTCAGGTCCGTGGGGTCGCCACTGCCTAACAGCTCGCCACAAGCTGCCTTGCGGATATTATTATTACAATGTTATTCAGACGATGCTATACATTTCCTTCATCTGTATCTAAACTTATATATAAAGAGGTAAATTGTTTAATTTAAGATAGTCATGTTCCTGAGTGCTGTAGCTTATAACTTATACTTGATTTGTGTATTTCAGTCGAGGTATCGCTTAAAACGCTGCTGTTATCCCTACATTTACTTACATAGAGTGAAATAAGTATAGAGAAACATTTTTTTTTATGTAATTGGTTGGCAAACGAGCACACGGATTACCTGATGGTAAGCAATCAGCGCCGCCTATGGACACCCGCAACGGAGCAGTTACGAGTGCGTTGCCGACCTTTTAGGAATTAGGGATTTGGAGATTAAGCGATTGAGGAGGGATTGGGGGATGGGGAGGATTGGGCCTCCGGTAACCTCACTGACACGGCGAAACACTCGCTGTGCTTGTTTCACGCCGGTTATCTGTGAGGCCGTGGTATCACTCCGGTCAAGCCGGACATAAAAACATTATTTGAAACTAACGATTCGTAAATGAGGTCAAACGACTTAATCAGCTTTGCTTTAACATTTCCTTGTTATATTGATAACAGTTGGCACTAAAAGAGTTCTCATCTTCAATTATAACGATCCCCGAACTCAAACTATGAAAAGAATAATTTTGAAATAAATTGTATGACTTTCTACTAAGCGAAACTGAAGGCGCATTTTTGAGATCGTCTTTTTTGCTGAGGACGCTTTGCAGATATCTGTCGCTGTGGAATAGAAGGTTTTATTATACCCACAGTTATCTAATTGTTTGCATCATCAGTGGGAACTGACAAATACATCTTAAACCAAGTGTGGGAGAGGCATGCTTTGGCACGAATGGATCGACTCGATCGGAGTGATACCATGGCTTTACAGAAAACCGGCGTGAAACTACCATAGCGTTGTGTTTCGCCGTGTGAGTGAGATTACCAGATGCCCAATCACGGGAGAGGTACCTCTCCTAAAATGTCCGTATCCCTTATCTCCAAGGGTCACCAACGCACTCGTAACTCCTCTGTTGTTGCTATTGGTAATTAATAATCCGTCTATTCGTTTGCCGTCCTAATTACGAAAAGTCGAATACACTTTTTGTATCAGAAATGAAGTTGAATCGACGGGGCGACCTATCTCCATTCTTACGTGATAGAAACATCTGCACTATGCGCAGAAGAAGCCGGATACCAAACTATTATAGTCCAGCATTTCCACGTTTAAAGTTTTTACATCAATAAACAGATTGTGATGACATTTCAAACTTCTATAATTACAATACTCGTTAGATATGTCACCGGAAAATAACAAAATCCGTAAGTTTATCATTTTACTAGGAAGTTTATAAACTTTCGTAAGATTCTAAACGGGAGATAAATTGTAATATTTTACGTCCACATTTTCGTAAATTTATCAATTTCCGACTTCATACGGTAAATTTATAAACTAACGAATATCTTTTCGTAAGATTTTATATGGTTCGACCAATCACAGAAACTCTTTTAAATATACGATCTTTGAAATACGTAACACACACTGCTTTCTGATTGGTCAATGTTCATAGTGGCAATGCTTGTGTCCATAGACTTTGGAATCAACAATGCAACAATGCCTGGTTCCTCTCTGGCACGGATGTAGTGAGTTGAGTTCTCTATTATCAGTTTCATCTGCAAACCGTTGTTTATCAATAGCAAACCGGTTTGTTTATGTGCCGTGGCCAGCAATGGCGGCCGCGAGGAAGGAGAAGTGACACGTGACAGCCAACCAATCAGATCGCGCGTAGCGTTTGGTTACTGGTTACTTATTATTTTACGGATGAGTTCAGTAAGTTTATCAATTTACAAAAATGTGGACGTAAAATATTACAACTTATCTCCCGTTTAAAATCTTACGAAAGTTTATAAACTTCCTAGTAAAATGATAAACTTAGGCTAAGAACTCACGGAGCGATTTTGAACCGTGCCCGTCGCGGTAGCGGAACTGCGGTTTTATTTCCAAACTCACGAGACCGGTTATTTGCGCGGTTACACAGCCGCCGCGGTTGCGATCATCGCCCGCAAACGTGGCGGGCGATGATCGCAAGATTGCAAGATCGGCGGCTAACGATCAGTTGAGGTCCAGACCGCCATGGACACACACCAGAAACGAGCAGTTGCGTTATATTTACTTCACAGAAGACCCGCCGGCCCCCGCGGTCGCTCGCCAACCGATCGCAAAGCGCGCGGGTGCCACCCGCCGAGGCTGCGGGTAACCGCGGCCCGCGCGATTCTACTAGTTGCCCGCCGGTACAGCGGGAGCCGCATACAACCGCGTACACCGCGGGCGTAAAACGCGTCGTGAAATGTGCTTTAATTTTTTATATTAATATTTGAATTCTACAGAAGCTGCGGGCCCGCAACCGTAGCGGACGCGGGCGAAAATCGCTCCGTGAGTTCTTAGCCTTACGGATCTTGTTATTTTCCGGTGACAGATACATCAAAGATCTTTCAGTTGTCAAAATGTTTACGAATTTTAGACGTATTATAGATTTTATAAAATTAAGATGTGGTGGCTGGTGTTAGTGCTGGTAGCTGAGGTGGTGGCGGTCGCGGACTATAATTACCGGGACTACTACTACCAGACAGTGGATGAGGACGTTGAGGGGGATATATATGAAGTCTACGGTGGTTTGTACTTTGATGTCTCACACACCTGGAAGTATGGATGGCTTGTAGAGCACATACGGAACATAACATATCTGCCAGAGCACGCTCTGATAAACCTGTACTTATACTTTAAACTTTCGCGTTGCATACTTTACTGTTTTACTGGAATTACCGCGGACGTACCTCTACCTTATCTCTTAGCCTTACATCTTTACCCGTATCTTTACACCTGCCATGGTCACAAGCACACAAGGCAGGTGTAACCCTGCCGAAACGTCAAGCAAAAAACAAATAGGTAAAAGAAACGTTGAAATCACAACTTCTTTCGAATTTTTGCATCGCTACCTATATCTCCGAAATGGTGATTCTTATGAAAAAAAGTGTTCGAACAATTTTTATAGTTAATTGCATGATGTGGATTTTTGTCTCACCTATTTTTATGTTAAACTTACTGTTTACCTGGAAATCTCAAAAAACCGATTTTTGCAATATTTGACCTTGCATAATTTTTTCCCACACCTCGAATTGATGTGGATAATTGTCAAAATGTTTGTAATTGGGGTCTCCAACATACATGCCAAGTTTTAGCAAGGTGCGAATTAATGTAAGCTTACCCCTATTTTTGAAGCTCATTTAACCGGGTTACATTTTATTATCCGCAGGAGTATACACAGATACGACTCTGTTGTTCGACACGACTTATAACCGAACACTCCCAAGGATTCGAAGGTTCGGAGAAGGGACCTCAGAAAATACCGGTGACTCACGATACATTAAAGGTAAGCCATCACAGAAATAAGGCCATTTTGAAATGGAGTTTCTTGCTCGTCCTTCTCCATAGGAATCTACACTTTGGAACGAGCAAATAGCTTCACTAGAGGACTGACCGACAGACTCGCACTCTTATTCTTTAAGGTTTTGTTTGACGGTCAAAAGTGCCTGTAAGGGATTAATTGAAATAAACGATTTTGAGTTCAATGAGTTTAACTTTGAAATCTTAAAAAAAACGGTAGCTGGCACTGCATTGGGGGGTTTTCGGAGCTGGTGAACTCAGAGGACTCTGTTATGATGATGACAGAGCTGATGGCGGCTGCCAGTGCTAGTTTAGGTGAATAAACATATCTCACACTCTGTAAACTTTCTCTCAAAGCGTTTAAAGGTTTCCCCTATCGTGGCCATACGTGTGGTGGAACCTAGCTTCGGGAAGAGTGATTCAAAAGCCTTACAGAAACCGATATAAAGTGTGAGTGAGCTTTACTCCCATTTCTTAAATCCCTCTCCCTTAATGGCTGGCAACGCGCTCGTGTAGCGGATTTCTAAAAGCGCTGCATTGCATGCTGTGGCTTACAATCCGTCTGCTCGTTTGCTGTCACATCCCATAAAAATTACTCAATCCATGATTACAGATTTTTGACTTTGTTGACGACCGATCACCAGTGTTGTCAACCAAAAACATATGAAATACTTAAATAATCAAATTGAATAAGAGCAAAATCTACTTCATTTGTCTTGTCAATAAAACTATGAGTTTCGAATTAGGTGAAAGCCGATACAATTTCTTTGTGAATGTTGTGTTATTTATTTTTATGTGAGACAGCTGCAAACACAGCTGCAAACGACTAATCGATTTATCTGATAGTAAGCAATCATCGCCGCACAAGGACGCCTAGAACACCAGAGGTGTGAAAAGTACGTTGCCGGCCTTTTGGGATTGGGGAGCGAAGGATGGAAGGCAGGATTTGAATAGAAAGTCATGCATTTTTGCAGTGTTGTCACCATTTCAGACAACTATTTAGTGGTTTTCTGATCACCAGATGGTGGAGTGGTATTGTAGGAGGAAGTTATGTGTTTCCTACAGAGAATTGCAGAGTTCAGCCGTTGAGAAAAAAATTTTTGACAGATAATTACCGGACGAACTGACCTCACCTTAATAAGCGCCATCGCACGAGTAAAAACGGGTAGCCCTCGCTGATGACACTGATTATTTAACAGGTATTCTTAAAGAAATCTTTGCTGGCCATGAAATGGATAGTTTGAGTGACGAGTCAAGGGATATCATAGAATTGGATCAGAACATGAGGACAACCAGCAGGATCAGACCCACGCTGACACCTCCAATACATAGATTGGTAATTAGTATACTTTATTTAGTTGCTCATTTGTCTTTGACTCCACTTAGTTGGGAATCGATGCAAGTATTTTCTTTCCTTTTTAAATAAGTTGCCCCCACACTGGAATTTACTCCTGTGACGTGGATGTTGTCCGTTACAAACATACAAATTTCTGGACCACACAAATTGTCGTTCCGTGCGGGAATCGTAACTGCGACACGTTGCACACTAGCCGGTTGCAGGGCCACTGCGTCAACCGCGCAGTCAGACCTTTACCTTAGTCCTATTTCGGTATCAGCGCGGCGGCTGTGGCCTGTGAAGGCTCTTGAAGGAGTTCCACGAGACCGTAGTTTATATATTTGTAAGCCGAAGGTTGAGTTGAAAGGGTACTAAGCTCCTCACATCTCAGCTGCTACAGGAGATGCTCTGGGCGCTGATGGTTGCATGACGATCTCCGGCAACCGTAACCTGGGGTCAGTGAAACACGAGCAATGGTAGCTCGCCGCCGGGTTCAGAACCAGACCTGAGTCATTCATACCAAAGATTGGTTTTACCTGGTTTGGTGCAATGATTTTAATATTCTCATACTTCAACATTCCAGGGCCCCGATCATCGCTATGCATGGTACAGAAGAAAAGCAAATACAACGACAGTAAGTATGGATGGATGTTCGTTACTCTTTCACGTAAACACTACAGAACGGATCTGAATGTAATTTGGCACAGAGATCAAATCTGGCATAACACGCAGGATTACATTTTTATGTGGAACTGCGGGAGAAGCCGCGGGCAACAAGCTAATAATAATAAAGTTGTTATTTCTTTTGTGTGGTGTAGTTGTCAGTTTTTGTGTGGGCAACAATACCGTATATTGAGGTGCGGTCCTCTTAAATGGAAGTCGTTTGGAAAGATTTTTATGATGACAATCGGCACCGCCCATAGACACCTACAACACCAGAGGTGTTACGAGTGCGTTGACATTGCGAAGATTTAGGGATCGGGGAGAAATGATAGGCTCCAGTAACTTTACTTACACGCCATAACACAACGCGGTGGTTATATTACACCGGGTTTTCTGTGAGGCCGTATTATCACTTCAGTCAAGCTGACCCATTCGTGCCGAAGCTTGGCTATCTCACACTTTTTAGTTTATGATTAACATTACCTAATATATTTTTTCTTTTTTTCAACAGAGTTCATCGGTCTCGCCCGTAAGTACATCTCCAGCCAGTATTGTGTTTTTTGGGGGATGATCATCAAATAAACCTCTCTAGCCCTAGGTTGGCAATGTCAGACTCTCACTGACTAAAGCCCACTCCGTTGTTTATCTTGCTTGTAGGCCGGAGCGGCGGTACTTGGTTGCGCTTGACCCGCTACCCCGGCCCAGCCCATGTCTTACAGATCCGTTATACCAACAAAACAAAAAAGAAATTGAAGTATATTTTTTATTTTGCTATTGTCCTCAACCAATATGTAAGTGTAAGAAAAAGAAGCTTTTTTTGTTTTATATTGTAGGACGCCAAACGAGTGTACGGCAGAGGAGGGCTGATTCGCCCCTATGCGTGTGAATTTTGTGGCCGTCTCCACTTATTTTTCTTTCCGTTTCATATTGGCAATGGTTCGCCACCAGATGTCTGATTGACCATGTCTCTTCTGGTGGTAAGCGATTCACCATTGCTATGACAGATGTTAACTCGTGTTAATCTCCATTGCGGCTTTGGCTTCCTAACGTCTCTTAAGAAAACCATATTGTCAGTCAATCATACTTTTATCTTTTATGAATATATTTTAATCTATTTTCTTTGTCCTCAGGCCGATTCGGGTGCAGCGGTAAGTACATAACAGACGTTTGTTTTTTTTTTAATTCATAGGACGTGCCTTAAGCATTCGGCAGAGACTCGTACGCAGGCGCAAGACAATTCTTTATTTGGTTCAATGGGTCATTTGGCAATTGTCTCGTCTGGTGGTAAGCTATGATGCGTGTATAGCCATAAATTACCTTTTTTTGTGAGGGCAAAATGATCTAATGGAAAAACCGGACTCCAGTGTTTTGGTGTTTTCATGGTTTGACTAAGAGAGAAGCGGGCTTAAGGAGAAGCGGTCTTCATATGCATGAGGGTGCGGGTTCGAAACCTGGCAAGTATCAATGTGACTTTTTCCAAGTTATACGTACTTTCTATGATTATTTAAACACCACTGACATACGGTTAAGGTAAACATCGTGAGGAAACCTAGACTTATAATTTCTAATTATAATTTTGTAATCGCCAACCCGCATTGAGCTAGCGTGGTGATTAATTCTCTAACCCTCTCTGTATCAGAAGAGGTCTTTGCTCAGCAGTGGGCACTAATAGGCTGATGATGATGATCCTGACTAAGCTTGTCCCTAAAAGTAGGTATCACACAGGTCAAAATGAGAACCTCCTTCTTCTTTAAGGTAGGTCTACATTTTTTTTATTCTGTTACTAAGTGATTATTTTTAATTCGAATCTATTTTCTTTTGTCCCCAGAACGTAACGGTAGCCTCTGTAAGTACATATTAGAATGAAAGTAATTAATGTATACATATAGACACTTAATCCATAGGCATGATTTCGTTTAGCATAACGTTTATTTAGAGCGCCAAATATTTGGCATAATTTGACTTAGCATACTACGAAGATCACAGAATTTCAATTGAAATAATTTTAAAAGTCAAAATCATTTATTCCAAATAAAACATTAATAGGTACTTTTAAAACGGACCTAATGTTGAACCCTGCGAAACACCTATTCTTATCATTCTGTCTGGCATTTTATAACTGATAAAAAGACGCTTTGCGGCTTTGCATACTATTTTAAACATTTTTGAGTACAATTTTTCATGTTAATGAAAAAGGGGGTCGCAATTATATGGTTTGATGCCAAATATACATAAAGTTCAAAAAGTTTATCTCTGCTCTTACAAATACTTAAACTTAACATGGATATCTTTACATTTTATTGGCAGAAAACTTGTATTTTGAAATTCCCAATTTACCACCGCAATTCATTTTTCCTATCCTGCTTGGATTACTTCATCAAAAATGAGTTAATTTTATTATTTTGTTATTCGCTGTGCCCGACAGGGTCCATAATGATCTTAATACTGATACACATATTATAATACCTAATGCAACATTATGGAATGCAATAAACATTGAATTTGAATTTGAAAAAAAGGCAGTTTTATTAGTCATACTGGTGGTTAGCAATGGAACGGCCGGCGACGGAGCACGTATAGCCATAAATCACCTTTTTTTGTGAGGAGAAAATCATCTAATGGGAAAACCGTGACTCCAGTGTATCGATATTTTCATGGTTTTATTCACTGCATAATATCCTGCCTAAGCTTGTAGCGAACTTGTCCCCAAAAATATCATACAGGTCAACCTCCTTTTTCTTTTAGGTAGGTAACATTTTTAATTCTGTTTTTTATTCTGTACCTATTTACGAGATTATTTTTAATTCGAATCTTTTTTCTTTTGTCCTCAGAACTCATCGTATTCCCCGGTAAGTACATACATATCAGAATTAAAGTAATGTATCATCCATAGACACCCCATCCATAGTAGGCATAATTTCGTTTAGCATAGGTAACGTTTATATAGAGCGCGGATTATTTGGCATAAGTTGACTCAACATTTTTTTTTATGTAATTGGTCGGCAAACGAGCAGACGGATTACCTGATGGTAAGCAATCAGCACCGCCCATGGACACCCGCAACGGAGGAGTTACGAGTGCGTTGCCGACCTTTTACGGATTAGGGATTTGGAGATTTAGGGATTGAGGAAGGATTGGGGGCGAGGAAGGATTGGGCCTCCGGTAACCTCACTCACACGGCGAAACACAACGCTGTGGTTGTTTCACGTCGGTCTTCTGTGAGGCCGTGGTATCTATCACTCCGGTCGAGCCGACCCATTCGTGCTGAAGCATGGCTCTCCCACACTTACATACTACGAAGATCACAGAATTTCAATTGAAATAATTTTATTTGTCAAAATGGTGGTAAGCTATGATGCGGCCTAAGACGGAGTACGTCTAGCCATAAATCACTTTTATTGTCAGGGGAAAATCATCTAATGACGTCTCCAGCCCAGAATCGAGCCCGAGGGAGAGTCCGTCTCTTTCTGAATAAAAACCTCCCCGCAATTCCGACTGAACATCAGCCCTATAGGGCCCCGTTTGCGGTTTAAGCTGTTACGATCATATATAAGACGCTATGAAAACACCTGCCACGGCTGCAATGGGAGATAGTATTGGCTTTCCCCAGAAACTCCCCTAGATATGAGATAATCCCATACATATCATACAAGTGGAAAATATTTAGTTTCTTTCTTCTCATCTGGTAAAAGACAGTTACTTATGTTCCTAAGAATACCGGACTTCAGTGTTCTACACCGATAAGCACTGAAGTCCGGTATCCCGTCCGGCTTGACGCGAGTTTGTCCCAAAAAACATCATACAGATCAAAATCGGAAGCTCCTGCTTTTTTTAGACTGGTAACATTTTTTTTTTTTTTTATTCTTTTACTACGAGATTATTTTTAATTTGTATTTATTTTCTTTTTCCTCAGGCAATACCGACTACCACGGTGAGTACATATCAGTATTAAAGCGTCACCTATACATACCCTCAACTCCCAAGTGAAGAGTGCGTTGCTGGCTTTTTAGGAATTCGGAGAGAGGAACCAATCCTCTCTCCGAATTCCCACTTCAGTAACCCCAGCAACTTCTCCGTCAAATGCTGGATAATCCCTATCATATATATACTCATCCAAACTAATATTATAAATTCGAAAGTAACTCTGTCTGTCTTTTCTTCACGCCTAAACTACCGAACCGATTTCTGTGAAATTTGGTACAGACATAGTTCGGAACTCGAGAAAGGACATAGGATAGTTATCATACCAAAACAGCAGGAAGTCACTATTTAAAGCGAACGAAGTCGCGGGTAAAGGCTAGTAGGCTATAAAACATCAAGCTACGATCAAATGGAGCCGAGCAGCGGGTGAAACCGCGTGAGAGTAGCTAGCATACTATAAAGCGAAAACAATTTTTGCCAAGTCAAAATGGTAAGCTGCTCCATTTATGGTTTTTTATGTGATAGGTCGGCTAACGAGCAGATAGGTTACTTAATGGTTAGCAATCAGCGCCACCCATGGAAACCCCTTAACACCAGAAGATTTCTGAGAGCCTTTTGGGGATTCGAGAAGAGGAAGAAGGATTAGGTCTCCTGTAACCCGTGCACAACACAAAGCTGTGGTTGCTGCACGCGGGTTTTCTGTGAGGCCGTGGTATTACTGCTGTCGAGCCGACCCTTTCACTCTCCTACACTTAATGTCTGCAATTTGTTTTGTATAATATTCTGTACTTTAATTTTTAATTCGAGTCTTTTTTCTTTTGTCCTCAGAAATTTACGTTTCCGGCCGTAAGTACATATCAAAATTAAAGTAATGTATCATCCATAGACACCCACAACACCCAAGGAGTCACGTGTGCGTTGCTGGCCGTTTAAGAATTGGGAGAGAGGATTGGACCCACTGCAGTAACCCCAGCAACTTTCTCGCTAAATGCGGGATAATCTCAAACATATACATAGACTCGTATATAATAAGTTGGGGAAAAGGTTACGTCGCATTTTTTAAGCACATTCAAAACATTTTTTAACCCCCGACGGAAAAAGAGTTGTGTTATAAGTTTCACGTCTCTGTTTGTCTGTCTGTGGCATCCAGGAGCCTGAACGGATGCAGCGATTAAAATTTATTATTTCTATGTGTATCCGAAGCTTTGCGGGATCGAGCCTCGGCCCATGGCCTCGAATAAGGCCGGGCGTGAAAGGTCGCCGCCACCGATAACTTCCCTGAAGACACGGCGATGCAGGTCTACAAGTCTCGCCGAGAGGCGACGACGACGAAAACATATAATACGAAGAAAATATCGACTGATTATACCTAAACAGCGTTTCAGGCGATCTCATTTCTTGCCGCTAGAATTGAGACGCAATGTAAACGATCTGTTTTTAGTGAACATTGCAAATGGTTCGATTGATTGTCCTGAACCACTGACTACGTAAGATATGTCTTAGCACAAACCGAAGTTATCTTAGAAAGTGTCCTATGTTACTTGCACCACAAGCTACTACGCCGGAATGCTTACTGCATTCGCCGTGTCAGGTCTTTCGTTGACCTGCTGTTAAATTTACTATATGGCTCATCCATAGCCTGTTATACCCATAATGTATTACCCATGGTCTGTTAGCTTTCTTTAAAATACAACACAATAATGCGAAAATATTTTTTCTCCAATCTTATTATATTATACGGGCCAAATGGGAAGCTATTTCGTCTTTTATGGTGATAGGTTGGAAAACGAGCGAGCGGATTCCCTCATGGTAAGCAATCAGCGCCGGCCAGGGGGCACCCGCAACACCAAAATGATTTCTGGAGGGTTCCGGACTTTTGGAAATAGAGATTTCGGAGATTTAGGGATTGGGAAAGAGGAAGAAGAGTTAGGCCTCCGGTAACCTGTGCAAAATACAAAGCTGTGGTTGTTGCACGCGGGTTTTCTGTGAGGCCGTGGTATTACTGCTGTGTGTGAGCCTATTCTACACTTAATGTCTGCAATTTGTTTTGTATATTCTATTACTGCGAGTACTTTAATTTTTAATTCGAATCTTTTTTCTTTGTCCTCAGAACTTTTCGATTGCGCCGGTAAGTAAATATCAGAATTAAAGTAATGTATAATCCATAGACACCTACAACACCCAAGGAGTCACGTGTGCGTTGCTGGCCTTTTAGGAATTGGGAGAGAGGATTGGACCCACTGCAGTAACCCCAGCAACTTCGCCGCTAAATGCGGGATAATCCCTAACATACATAAAACTTATAATTTGTATATATATCCAAACGAGCTTACTGGGGAGATACAACCAATGGCAGTTTTAAGGGGTAAACTCGCAGAGCTAAGCCTTCGTCGGGTTAAATTAGACTAAATTAAGTTTACCACAATATGAGATTTTCTCTAAAGAGGTCTCGATATTGAGGGCGTGGTATTATACTACAGTCGAGCAGGCCCATTTGTGCCTGAGCATGGTTCTCCAACGGTAAAACTATACGTATTATACAGGTCCAAATGGATACTTTGTTCTGGTTCTTTATGTGATAGGTCGGCAAATGAGCAGACGGTTTACCTCACAGCAATCGGCGCATTGACCCGCGCAACATCAGGGGATTTACGAGTGCGTTGTCGGCCTTTGGGGATAAGGGTTTAGGTGATTTAGGATTAGGGAAGAGGAAGAAGGATTAGGTCTCCTGTAACCCGTGCACAACACAAAGCTGTGGTTGTAGCACGCGGGTTTTCTGTGAGGCCGTGGTATTACTGCTGTCGAGCCGACCCTTTCACTCTCCTACACTTAATGTCTGCAATTTGTTTTGTATAGTCTATTACTACGATTACATTGATTTTTAATTCGAATAAATTTTCTTTTGTTCTCAGGACTTTACGTTTCCCGAGGTAAGTAAATATTAGAATTAAAGTAATGTATAATCCATAGACACCTACAACAGCCAAGGAGTCAAGTGTGCGTTGCTGGCCTTTTAGGAATTGGGAGAGAGGATTGGACCCACTGCAGTAACCCCAGCAACTTCGCCGCTAAATGCGGGATAATAACAAGCCTGACATACATTTACTCGTTGTTTTAATAGAATAGGAGCCAAACGAGCAAACCTGTCCCCTGATGGTAAGTGATCAGCGGCGCCCATGGACACCTGCGGCACCAGAAAAGTCACAGGCGCGTTGCCGGCCTTTTAAGAAGGAGTACGCTGGTTTCTCGAACATTTGAAAGTTGTATCAGGTGGGAAATACCACCACCAAAAGAACATTCCAAAGTTTTGATGTGCGATGCAGAAAGTTTCGCATAAATCGCACAGTTGTTGACTGCCAACTATCTATGTGATGGAGATGAAAACTTATTCGCATGGAATGATGGCGACAAGATGCAGCGGGGATCAAACCGAACAATTCATCAGAGCAGTCCCCGTGATATATGCGATAGAGAAGACAATACATAGCGAGGCTACATACGCAATTCCATAGAGTCCAACCGGTCCGAGATAACAGGGCAGTCAGCCGTGGCTGTTAGAGGAGAGGTGGGCTCTGAAACTGAGGAGATACAACCAATGGCAGTTTTAAGGGGTAAACTCGCAGAGCTAAGCCTTCGTCGGGTTAAATTGGTCGAAATTAAGTTTACCACAATATGAGATTTTCTCTAAAGAGGTCTCGATATTGAGGGCGTGGTATTATACTACAGTCGAGCGGGCCCATTTGTGCCTGAGCATGGTTCTCCCTCCATAAAACTATACGTATTATACAGGTCCAAGTGGATAGCTTCTTCTTGTTTTTATGTCACCGGTTGAATCGGTCGGCAAATGAGCAGACGGTTTACCTCACGGTAAGCAATCGGCGCATTGACACGCGCTACACCAGAACATTTACGAGTGCGTTGTCGGCCTTTGGGGATTAGGGTTTGGAGATTAGGAAAGGGGAAGAAGGATTAGGCCTCCGGTAACCTGTGCGAAACACAAAGCGGTTTTCTGTGAGGCCGTGGTATTGTTGCTGTCGAGCCGACCCTTTCACTCCCCTACACTTAATGTCTGCAATTTGTTTTGTATATTCTGTTACTACGAGTACTTTTATTTTTAATTCGAATCTTTTTCTTTTGTCCTCAGGGCTTTGCGTTTCCTATCGTAAGTACATATTAGAATTAATGTATCATCCATAGACACGTACAACACGCGGGGAGACAGGATTGGACCCACTACAGTAACCCCAGAAACTTCGCCGCTAAGTGCTGGATAATCCTTAACATACATTTACTCATTTTATTTGAAGAATAGGACCCAAACGAGGTATCCTGTCACCTGAGGGTAAGTGATGGCGGTGCCCATGGACCGGCGACGATGGTTGCCGGCCTTTTAAGAAGGGTTTCTTAAACATCTGAAGGTCATATCGGTTCGGAAATATCGCCACCGAAAGAACATTCAACCAACTATATGGGACCGAATTTGCACTTTACAAACTAATAGGCATTGCCCCGAAGTGAAATACTGCCTCTATTCTATCTAATTTATCTATTAATTATATCTATCTAATTTGTTGATCCTTTAATTTTTTAATTCTGATGTTTTTTTCTTTTGTCCTCAGAACTTTACGTTTCCCGAAGTAAGTACATATCTGAATTAATGTATCATCCATAGACACCCACAATACCCGAGGAGTCACGTGTGTGTGGCTGGCAATTTAGAAATTGGGAGAGAGGAATACACCCACTACGAAAACACATAGCGAGGCTACATCCCTACACAATCCCAAAGAGTCCAACCGGTCCGAGATAACAGGACAGTCAACGATTCGAACAGCTAGTCGCTAAATGTGGTCCAGAGGGAGGAGCTGGTACTGCGGTGCCCCCGCCCAAAGATGACCACAGTATTCCATACTCTGTTGAACTTGCGCTTTATAAATTAGTAGACATTGCCCCGGAGTGAAATAGTTCCTCGATCTGTTGAACACATCTAGCTTCTTCGAGGCTGACTTAGGTTTAGCTTGTATATAATCGTGGAACTGGACTTCGCTCGATATGTCGACACCAAGTATTCCGATACCAGGCGAGGCTGTTAGAGGGGAGGGGTCTCCTTGTTGTTTACGTGATAGGTCGGCAAATGGGCAGACGGTTTACCTCACGGTAAGCAATCGGCGCATGGCATCTGTCCATGCAGCATCAGGGGATTTACGAGTGCGTCGTCGCCCTTTGGAGATTTAGGATTAGGGATGGGGAAAAAGGGGTAATGGTATTACTGCTGTCGAGCCGACCCTTTCACTCTCCTACACTTAATGTCTGCAATTTGTTTTGTATATTCTGTTGCTACGAGTACTATGATTTTTAATTCGATCCTTTTTTCTTTTGTCCTCAGAACTTTACGTTTCCCGCCGTAAGTACATAATAATATCAGAATTAATGTATCATTCATAGACACCTACAGCACCCGAGGCGTCACGTGTGCGTTGCTGGCCATTTAGGAATTGGGAGAGAGGATTGGACCCACTGCAGTAACCCCAGCAACTTCGCCGCTAAATGCGGGATTATCCCTAACATACATAATACTTATATATATTTTTTGGAATAGAAGCCAAACGCGTAAACCTGTCCCCTGATGGTAAGTGATCAGCGGCGCCCATGGACACTTGCGGCACCATAAAAGGCACAGGCGCGTTGCCGGCCTTTTATGAAGGAGTACCCTGGATTTCTTGAACATTTTCAGTTTCGCGTAAATCGGTCAATTTTTGACTGCCGACCATCTATGTTATGAGGATGAAAACTTATTCGCATGGAATGATGGCGAAAAGATGCGGCGGGGATCAAACCGAACAATTCAACAGAGCAGTCCCCGTGATATATGCGATAGAGAACACATAGCGAGGCTACATCCCTACACAATCCCAAACAGTCCAACCGGTCCAAGATAACAGGACAGTCAACGATTCGAACAGCTCGTCGCTGAGTGTGGTCCAGAGGGAAGATCTGGTACTGCGGTGTGGGGTAACAAAACGGGAGCGTTGCTCCACGCCAGTACTGAATATATTATTAATATTATTATACAGGTCCAAGTGGATAGCTTCTTCAGGTTCTTTATGTGATAGGTCGGCAAATGAGCAGACGGTTTACCTCACGGTAAGCAATCGGCGCATGGGTTGCCCATGCAACATCAGGGGATTTACGAGTGTGGGGGAAAATGGATTTGGCTTCCGGTAACCTGTGCGAAACACAAAGCGGTTTTCTGTGAGGCCGTGGTATTGTTGCTGTCGAGCCGACCCTTTCACTCTCCTATACTTAATGTCTGCAATTTGATTAGTATATTCTGTTATTACGAGAACTTTGATTTTTAATTCGAATCTTTTTCTTTTGTCCTCAGAACTTTACGTTTCCCCCGGTAAGTAAATATCAGTTTCAAAATAATTTATCATCCATATACACATCCGAGGGGTCTCGAGTGCGTTGCTGCCCTTTAAGGAATTGGGAGAGAGGATTGGACCCACTACAGTAACTCCAGCAACTTCGCCGCTAAATGCGTGATAATCTGAGCGGTTGGTGCGGTAGCTGGGTAACTGGCTGCCGTGCATCGTGTCGTGAGTTCGATTCCTGCTCGGAACAAATCTTTGTGTGATCCACGAATTGTTGTTCCGGGTCTGGTTGTGATGTGTATGTGATATCGTCTGTTTGTAACCGCATCCACGACACAGGAGAAAACCTTAGTGTGGGGCAACGTTTATTTTAAAAAGAAAAAATCCCAGACATACATTTTTTTATGGAATAGTAGCCAAACGAGCTTACCTAGCACCTAATGGTAAGTGATCTGCGGTGCCGATGGACACCCGCGGCACTAGAGAAGTCACAGGCACGTTGCTGGCCTTGTAAGAAGGGGTACGCTCGTTTCTTTCGGTTCGGAAACACCGCCACCGAAAGAACATTCCAAAGTTTTGCTGTGCGAGGCAGAAAGTTTCGCGTAAATCGCACAGTTGTTGACTGCTGACCATATATGTGATGGGGCCCTTTCACTCCCCTACACTTAATGTCTGCAATTTGTTTTGTATATTCTGTTACTACTTATTTTTAATTCTAACCTTTTTTCTTTTGTCCTCAGAACTTTTATTTTCCACCGGTAAGTACATATCAGTATTAAATTAATGTATCATCCATACACACCTATTACATCCGAAGGCGTTGCCGTCTTTTTAGGAATTGGGAGAGAGGATTGGACCCACTGCAGTAACCCCAGCAACTTCCTCGCTAAATGCGGGATAATCCTGCAAGTCCCGTAACACCACAAAAGTTAAAGTCGAAAACATTTTTTTTTTCAAAAAGCCATAAATACGTACTTAGGTATGTTTAAAACGTCAAAATAACCCTGTCGATGTCGGTTCGTTCGTGAAATGAGTGACTCTAGGTGCTCGTTCTAAAGTGTAGATTCGAATGACACGAGGATGAAACTCCATCATTAATTGAATAAAGCAGAGTACTAATTGTAAACCAAAAAAAAAATTTCACGATGGGAAAAAATTCTCATCATCATCAGTTTTAAATCTTTTATGGTCTCGAAAATGGCGCTCACATATGCCTACCTGACAATCCGTAATCCAAAAGAATCCTTCTATATAAGGTAGGACTGGTAATAATCAGTAAATGATAATTCTAGGAGAGTTTCGCCTCTTTATAAGTATCTGCAATTTTTTTTGTATCCATGTATATACTGTTGCTACGAGTACTTAAATTTTTAATTATAATCTTTTATTCTTTTGTCCTCAGGGCTTTCCGTTTCCCGCCGTAAGTACATATCAGAATTTAAGTAGTGTATCATCCATAGACACAGCCAAGGAGTCACGTGTGCGTTGCTGACTTTTTAGGAATTGGGAGAGAGGATTGGACCCACTGCAGTAACCCCAGCAACTTCGATAATCCCAAACATGTTACTCGTATAAGTATTTTACAGGTCAAATTGGGAAGCTCCTTCTTCTTTTGTAGACGGATTACCTCCTGGAAAGCAATCGGCGCTGCACATGGACACCAGCACAATTATTTATTCTTATTACATCATAAATACTTAGAAACGTTTGAAACATCAAAAGAGAATAGTAGTCTGCCAGTCAGTTCGTCAGTGAAGCTAGGTGCTCATTCCAAAGTGTAGATTCGAATGGAGAAACGAGCAAGAAACTCCATCGTTACACCATTCAAATTTTATTATGTATAAGTGCGAAATCGTCAATCCGCCTTGAGCGTTCGTGGTGATTACTGCTCAAACTTTCTCCGTGTGAGAAGAGGCCTTTGCTCAGCAGTGGTCGCTTATAGGCTGATGATATGTGATGTGATTTAAACACGTGAAAAGTCGAGGAGAGTTTTGACCCTTTTGATCTGCAGTTTTTTGTGTATTCTGTTACTATGAGACTTTGACTTTTAATTCGAATCTTTTTCTTTTGTCCTCAGAACTATTCGCCTCGCTCTGTAAGTACATATCAGAATTAAAGTAATGCGTCACCTATACATAACCACAACACCCAAGATGTTACAATTCTGTATTTCATTATGTATTCCACGCGGTTATGCGGACGGCGACCAGAAACAGACTTGAGCGTACAGTGCATAGCGTTCCGCGCGTTCCCTAAATAGCCAATAGACCACCACAAACGGGGCCGTATAGGGGTGATGTTCAGCTAAAGCAGAAGAAGGAACGGGGGCTGTTAGTCAGTAATAGTCTGACACCCCCTCTCACCTCATCTTGAGCGAGAAAACTGAATGGATGATTTGGATCTCACAAAACAAACATGGCTCTCTTTGAATGTTTTGCTATTAGGAGAACCCAAAAAAAATTCTTTAGATTGGGTGTGCCTGAATGTGTATGTGTGCTCCACTACTGATTCGGTAAGTGACCGTGCCCCGGGTTGGAGACCGATTGGTAGGTTGCACCGAACTCCGCCTCTTGCTAGATAATTGCAGACATACACGACAAACTGTGGAATTCATTGTTTATTTAAGTCTTCTTTTCTTGAATATTGTTACCACGAATATATTTTTTAATCTATAATTTTTCTTCTGTCCCCAGAACGAAACGGTAAGTATATAACTGGAGTTTTTTTCAGTGATTGTCTGGCTCGCCAGCTTACGTATCGCCTGATGATGAGCATTGCGCGTTGGCAACGTTTTCCAGTTGTTATTGTTCCACACTATTGGCGCCGAGAGCCATAAGATGCCGCCGTCGACTGCAAGAAGTGACTTTACTAAACCGTGCTTCTAAATATTACAAATGCTTCTGAAAACCGCATCGAATTCCAGTCAATTCTGATAATATTGGCAAATTTTAGTATTAATATACATTAGATCAACATGTAACGTCAATATGCAAACTACACAGTAAGTGTTATTTTACGATCTATTTAAGTGAAACGAAATTCGCGACCCCAATGTTTGCCACACCCGCCAGTATGATAAGGTCCTAGGACCGTTACATTTGTGGAATACGTTGGCAAACGAGCAGACGGATCACCAGATACTGAGCGATGTTGGAGATGGGGAAGGGAGGAGGGTTGGGCCTTGACTTGACATCCACATTCTGTGACGCCGTGGTTTCATTCCTTTCGAAGCATGGTTAGCCCACAACCCAAGCGTGATCAAACCGATCACTCGATGGTAAGCAGTGGTCGTCGCTCACGGAGAAAACTTTTGAGACTTGATTTATTAGGCATTAAGGATTGGGAATGGATCCAACTGTAGAGAGGTCGCGTTGTCGATGACTGATGAGATGTTTAGTGTCAAAAGAATTCACATATAATGTCATTTCGTTTTTCAGGTAACGAATAGTACCGTTACAGAGACCACTGTTACTACGACAACAGTAAGGATTATTTTGAAAATAATTATATTTTTGTATAGTAAACGGCAAGATGTTGTGGCGATATTAACGACAAAGTGTCAAGTGAAAACAAAACGGACATCTGTTAGCAGTAGCCCGCCAGGCGGAACCCCTCCCTTACTCGGAAGATCCTCCTTTTCTGACATTAGGGGACTTTACTCTCTGTGTCCAAAATCTCATAACAATCAAAAATCTATTTAGTTCCACAATTAGGTTAATAAAAACGTTAGACTTGAAAGAAAATCGTTTATGTACAGAAGTATTTTTTTGTTATTTTCATCGATTTTACAAGCTTCATTGTGCACAGAAGTTGCTTGGATCCAGTCGACATGTAGAATATGTATATTATTTTATCGCATTGTTTGTGATTCAAGTATTTTTTCTCTTCTACCACAGGTTACTAGTACCAGGTCGACTTGGGTAGTAAGTATTTTTCATTTAAAAATAGTTTGCCTACTTTAAGTTGCACGGTTCCTGAACATATAGCTGAGAGGAGCGGTACTGATGCATCATCATATTCTTGAAGAAGGCTCTCGATTGGGTCTGCTCCTGCTACACCCAGAGAAGTTTGTCGTAACTGTCCTGGTTAATAATTAAAACTTCTGGCCCACGTATTACCGTAAGCTGCCTAGTGCTGATTCCCTGCAATAGCACGATGGACATTTTTATGACCTGCTTCAAGTATACTAACCAATCGGGGCGCTAAGCGCGGTACCGGTCCGATGGTCAAGTCAAAAATAACGAGTACTGTTGTGATTGACTCAAGTCAAAGTCAAAGTCAGATCAAAGTCAAAGCCAGGGTTAAAGTCAAAGTCAAAGTCAAAGTCAAAGTCAAAGTCAAAGTCAAAGTCAAAGTCAAAGTCAAAGTCAAAATCAAAATCAATGTCAAATCAAAGTAATTGCTCACATCGCTTGAGTCCATGGTGATTTAATCTTGTATTTCTTTCCTTTTTCAGTTCGAGGACGAGGAAACAGTGACGGTAAATATATCATTATACTATGTACTGGCGAGCCACCCCAGCTTCGCCAGGTTCAATATTAATACTAATTTAATTAATGCATACATATAAACCTCCCTTTTCAATCACTCTATGCAATAATAAAACCGCATTAAAATCATACATACGGATATAGGGGCAGAGGAAACGACTTTGTTTTATATAATGTACTCAGTGATGATACCAAGTTACTTGTCCCGTGCCGTTTCACACCCTCGTTAGTTCACTCCTAGCACTGATACATTACAGTGTATTCACAAGAGTAAATCGTTATTTTCAATAAACACTATAGTTGTTTCACGTCAATCTTCTGTGAGGCCGTGGTATCACTCCAGTCGAGCCGACCCTTTCGTCATGTAAGCATGACTCTGCCGCACGTTTTTCAATGTGATTAGTCGGCAAACAAGCAGTCAGATTACCTGATGGTAAGCATTCAGCGCCGCCCATGGACACCCGCAACAACAGAGGAGTAACAAGTGTAAGGAGTAAGGAGTAACTTTCGGGGATTAGGGATTTGGAGATTTAGGGTTTGGGGGAGTATTGGGCCTCACACGGGGAAACACAACGCTGTGGTTGTGTCACAGTGGTTTTCTGTGAGGCCGTGGTATTACTCCTGTCGAGCCATCGACCTATTCGTACCGAAGCTTGGCTCTCCCACGCATTTTATTATTGTTTCGATGCAACATGATACATTTGTTGGATTGCTAAATATGTTTTTGTTTACTGTTTCAGAAGAAGAAAAAGTCAAAACCGAAAGTAAGTTTAACATTTTGTTAATAAAATTATAATATTTGTGTCGGATTATAGCAAGTTACTCAGCTTAAATTACCATTTTATCGTAAATGAGAGCTTGCCCCGGCAGCCAGGGTCATTACCAGGCATTATATAAGTAGCTGATGGTAAGCAATGGATCTCCTCTGGTGCTGATCAAGTACTTACGAGTGAATTGTCAGTACTTTTGTCTCGGAGATTTGGAAATTGTGAAGCAAGGGGAAGGGGAAGGATTGGGACTCCGGTAACCTCAATCACGCAGCGAGACACAACGCTGTCTCACACCGGTTTTCTGTGAGGCCGTGGTAGTGTGGTGGTGCTGTGTGCTAAAGGAAGTGCACGTAAATAATCCGCCCATTTAAGCGTAACTTGTGATGGTTTGAAGAGGTCTCTTTTCCAACCACTCCCACAGTGCGTCCGTGCTATTCAGATTAAAGGTCACATCTCATTAGAGCCACCCGACACCCCCTCATCAACTCTGTAGCGTCACCAGAACACTTCGCCCTTAACGGGTGGACCACTCTTTTTTGTACTTGCAATAAACTAGTGCTTGACTGCGATCCCACCTGATGGTAAGCAGTGATGCAATCGTTGATGGTAATGCGCACTAGTTTATTAAGAGCCTATTCACTCTAGCCTTGAAGACACCTAAATTGTATTCGGACGTAAAGACTGCAGCCGGCAAACTGTTCCAATCCCTCGATGTACGCGGTATAAATGACGAGGCAAAACGCTTACTCTGGGCCGCAGGTGTCTCAACAACGTAAGGGTGGATATTCGCCGTACGCCGGAAAGTACCAAGGTGAAATTGGGATGGCGGAATCAAATCGTGAATTCCTGCGCACACTCTCCAAAATGCATCCTGTAGAAAACCGCAAGGCTGGCTACTCTGCGCCTGTGCTCGAGACTTAGAAGATTGGACCCAACCAAATCTGGATCACCAATCTGCCTCTTTGCACGCCTTTCTTCTCGGTGACAACTCGCTGCTCGAATGTTTCCCTTGCGTTGACTGAGGAGCGTTACTAATCCGCGGGCCCCGAGTGAACCGCGCGCTGCCCTCTTTTCAATAATTAACAGACTACTTAAAAATTTGTGAACCAAGCGACGTCCACTCGTTGACCGCGTGGAGTCCACCGGCTGACCGTGGGACGTTTCTGCTCGTTTCCCCACAAGTCATACAAGTATTTTTGTCATACAAGGGGATGTGTGTTATTGCATACTCTGTTTGTTTCGCTGATTTAATTAAAAAACTGAGTTTTAGTGCTTGAAGGTTGGTACTACCTGACGTCAGTCAAGTCTTGAGACTATTTGACCAACCTACGCAAAATTTAAGGTATCGTCATATTCCTTGTTGGAGTAATTTTATTATGGGCTCAGGCCCGATTTATTGGTGATAACACGACGGTCACCAACCAAACGAGCGGCGTCGTGCGACGAGGTGGTGCCGCTGGGGGCCGGGTGGCTCTAAGGAGCTGTGACTATTTATACCCTAAGACTATTTCCTCTTCACACAAACAAAGCCAGAAAATACACTATAACTATCCGATTAACATTTTTTTAGAATCTGTCTTAAATTTTTTGTATCATGAAATCTTCGAGCTCTTTTATGGACCTACGACGCTTCCTTGAGGAAACCCGAATTATAATTGTATTGTTTGTCCACTAAATAGGGTACCACTCGTAAGCGGCCGAAAGTAAAGTTAAAGCCGGTAAGTAAAATATTTACTTTATCATCATCACACATCCATCAGCCTATGAGTAGCCATTGCTGAGGAAAAGCAAGAAGCCTTTTCAGACAGAGAATATTGAAGTAAAACTAAAGTCGAAATAATAATTAAAAGTACATTGGTATAACTGGGAAAAAGTCACATTCGTACTTGCTATATCGAAACCGCAGCACCCTCAAGCATGAGATGCGGGCTCCTTGTACATCAAATTAACACCAATAATGATACATACATATATTGGTGTGTTTGTCTGTTTCGTCATTTATCATTTTACGTGTACCTAAAGTCGTTGAATAAATCCAACGACTTTGGAATGAAATGAAAAGTTGTTCTGCGGTTCCTATATAACCTTCGTGCGGCCTTAGTTTATGTCCCAGTCGTAAATAGCCACGGCATAAAGTCCACTTCATTATCATCATCAGCCTATATATGCTCACTGGTGAGCAAAGGCCTCTTCGCAAACAGAGAAACATTGGACATTAGCTACAACACATGCTCAAGGCTGATTAGCGATTTCAAACTTACCTATATACCTCGCAATGGTTTTCTTAACGTATGTATGTATTCTAATCATCATAAATCATTTATTCCTTTGCAACACCTTCAAGTATACATATACGTTGGTAGTATTTGAGCGCATTTATTAAATACAAATAACCATTAGAAAACGTAACTACAGGAAAACTCCAATGTGGACGTCAGTGCGATCTTAGGCATCCTAGCAAACCTGACGTACGACTACGAGTGGAACCTCACCGAGGAGTTCAACAGGACGCTGATAGAGTGAGTATCAGGCATGAAGTAACTCTAGCGCAGTGTAGCGGACGTCTGTGTGTACCCTGGCTGTGGTCCTCAGGTCAGGCGTGCCCAAGTGTCCGACGCCCACCGAGTCGACCACCATGAGCACAACACCTCTACCCTACGATTTTGCCAACACCTCCGTCATCAGCAAGGTATGCCAGAAGGTTCACTGTAGTGTTGCTCGTTCTCTACTGATCGTGTTCCGTAATGTCTAGTGCTTTGTCTGCGGGTTGAAGACCACCGACATCCCGCGCACCGCGCACTGTGCTGACGCATTCAGCGGGGACTTCTTGCCTCTGGCGCCTGTCGACGCACGCGCCAAAGGTCACATCGCCTCCTTCAGAAAGTACTGCCGACATCTGGATGTGTAAGTGTATCAGTTGCTGGATTCTTTACTAATGCCTTCATATATAAATGGTTGTTAACGCACAAAGGTCTGAGAAAGTGAAGTGAAAGTGGGCGTTCTTCAAGGTTCAATATTGGGTCCCTTTCCTTTTTTGTAATTGTTCTTTTAAAATATACTTAAATGTGAGTAATGTATCTTAAGTACGAGTAATACTGACACCTACCTTACTGACAGACAGGTATTGGAATATTTTATTTAAGACGGCGGCCAAAGTGATACATTTACCAATCATGTCTCTACAGACACAACTTTGTGGAGAACCCGTTGGAGCCACATTCCATCTACGGCCGTTTTACGGGCGGCTGTGCAGTCCGCTGGACGGATCTATCGGGTGTGTACACGCAGCGTACCTGCCGCGCCAAGCACCGGCCACTGCTGGGCAAGCACTTCGGCAGCAAGCGGCTGGCCAAGCTGGAGCTGGCTCTCATAGTGGGTATCGAGCAGGGCGCTTGATGGTCGTAGCCGCGGTGCGCTCAGTTCTAGAGAGCTTGTGTTACAGAACGTGAAGAACGGCTGCATCGCCAGCCCGATGGCGACTCTGCTGCCGCTGTCGCGCGGCATTTCGCTGTACGCGCGCTTCCACGCGTGCGTCTGCACGGGCAACTGGTGCAACCGCGCGCCGCCCGCTGTCGCGCCGCCACTGCACCGCGCGCTCCAGGCGCTGCTGTCGCATTTGGTCATCCGTCGCTTGGGGACTTGAAGGCCACACTAATTTTGTTCCATTTTGTTTTTTATTGTTTTAATCATGTTTATTTAAATAATGAGCATCGTAACGTTGTTATAAGCATATTAAGTACAATTGTATCTTTACAAGTAATTAGTGTAACCTGCACTTTTAATTTCTAATTATATTTTAATGCTTACCTTTGTCTTCTAATTTAAAACTTGCAATAACTGAGCTTACCACAAAAATTAGCAATATTGTTATAGACAATTTTGCTCACAATTACCACAACATTATTAATATAAGTGTGGAAGAGCCATGCTACGTCACGAATGGGTCGGCTCGACCGGAGTGATACCACGGCCTCACAGAATACCGGCGTGAAATAACCACAGCGTTGTGTTTCGCTGTGTGAGTGAGGTTACCGGAGGCCCAATCCTTCCCCTCCCCCAATCCCTCCTAAATCCCTAAATCTCCAAATCCCTAATCCCTAAAAGGTCGGCAACGCACTCGTAACTCCTCCGTTGCGAGTGTCCATGGATGGCGCTGATTGCTTACCATCAGGTAATCCGTCTGTTCATTTGCCGACCTGTTACATAAAAAAAAACTGGCTAGCTTGCTAATGATGTAAAGACAATTTATTGAGGTTCTTGTCTTTAGAATAGTTCCCGTCAAGAATTTAATCGATTTTGCATTAAGATCGATAAACCTAGGTACTTTTTTTGTGGCGGGGAAATTACCATCATCGCGCCTTGGGCGGGGTAAGAGGGTGTCAATCTCTTACAGACTAAAAAACACCCTGTTCTTTCTCCTGCTCCGTGCCGAGGCCGCGTTACCATTTTCTGCATGCCCCTTGTAAACAATCGTAGCCAAAAGTCAAAAATTATTTCAAATAGACCCTTTACAGGCGCTTTCCAACGTCAAACAAAACTTACAAGATAAAAAGTGTCAGTCAGTCCTCTTATGCCCGGTTTCTGAAGGCGTCGGTTATGTTAAAAATAGTTGTTGGTTCAATAAAGTTATCAATAAGATAAACGTCGGTTAACTGTCACTGCGTTTCTGAATACGCAACGAGCCGTTCAATAACTATGTAAAGGATAGTAAGTTCCTTAATTTGCCAGTAAATGGGTCTTTTAAGGATAACAACTAAATTTTGATTTTATTTAATTTATTTCAGCTTTATTACATGTTTATTAGGTAAATATTTTTTTTTTCAAAGTTTTAAGTTATCAAAAACTGTTTCATTTAAAATATAATGATAATTTGTTATTTAGCATTGGCTGTATTGAACACCGTCTCAGGGTCAATTAGAAAAAAAGCAACGTCAAACAGACTTTGTTGTCGGTTACTTTGGAAAACGAAAACGATATCTTATAGTAAACTCTCAGAATACAGAACAAACCAGAAGCCGCGTTCATTCACAATTGCATGTCGTCTAATGTGTCCAAAAACAATACGTCAGTCCCCCCGCCAGCCGCACTTCACACCCGCGTAGTGTTGCCCACAGTGGAACAATTCCCTTGGTTTGGGGCAATTTTACACAAGGAGGGCAAAATATATTTTATTGGTAAAAAATTGGTAATCTTACGATAAATTTAACAGACTAGTGGTTTACACATTTCGTGCTGGTATCATAAAAGTTGACGATTTCTAGCTGTGTTAATTTTAGTTACACTTACTATTCACAACAAATAAAACAAAATCTCAATAAGTACAAAGGTTTTATTGCGTTCTCTTCTTCTGTTTTATCTTTTTATAACATGTATTGTCTTTTAGACTCTGAACTGATTAGAAGTTAGTAGTAGTACCTACTTTTCTTAGTTCCTCAGATTAGCGCGTTCAAGCAAACCAACAAACAAACTCTTCAGCATTATAATTAGTATAGTTAGGTAATAGGAGTTTCTGTTTTTTTTTTCAGTCTTTTTAAACCACCTTTGTCATAAATATATTGCTGTTCAAAGTGAATTAAGCAAAACTACATATGCTCCGGCTAGATGATTTCCAAATTCATTTAACCGTGCTCTTTATATGATTTTTATTCATTTTCATTTTCTTTGTTTGTCGACAGGGAATCTAATACGACAAAGGTTCCATAATGGGCAAAAATATAACTCACAACACATAAATAAGTGGGTAAAATTTTCACCAAAAATGACAACACTTACAAAATGGCCGCATCATTTTCATAGAAAAATAAATCGATAAAAAATATTCAATAATTAATTAAATATACTATTGCAGTCGATGCTTGCAGATGAAATTTAATCTTATCCACTTTTTTCGTAATTCCAGCCGCATTTTTATTCGTAGGAATTACACAAGACGGCGAAATAAAATTAAAATTGATACTCGTAAATACGTCACGACATGTCACGTGCCAAAATTGACTGATCGTAGAAAATTCATACTACTCTAGTTATGAATGGTTTGAGTTGCTTTAGTATGAAGCGCGTTGACGGCTTCTGGTTTGTTCTGTATTCTGAGAGTAAACTCTTCATCACTAAACATTTCTAAAGGATTTCTCCTTTGTCTTAAGTTTCTGGGTACAGAAATACTAGAAATAAACTCTATTACTTCCATATCGGACTCAGATGAACTGCTTGTATTTAATATGCTCCTATTCATTACTCTTCCATAATTAGCAACTAAAGCAACTTACTTATTGAAATAATTTTGTAATTTACCACAAAAATTGTATAGTTTGACATTCGAAACGTCAAATAAAGTTATGGAACTGATAAACGGCACCAAATGGCGAGTTAAGATAGCTTTAGTTTAAACGGAGTTTATCTAACAATGCAATGCTCAGAAACGTACTTGTAAGAGTTTTCGAACCAATAGCGCTATCGAATCGATAAACTGCCGTTAACTATACCTCAGAAACCGGGCATTAATGAAGCGATGTAACCTTTTTATTGATATTATAGGTTATAGGTATTAAACTATTAATACATACTGAATACCTAATAAATATTTCTAGAAATACCTATATGACTATAGGTATTTCTAGACTGCACGGTTGGTGCGGTGGCTGGGCAACTGGCTGCCGTGCAACGTGTCGCGGGTTCGATTCCCGCACGGATTTGTGTGATCCACAAATTGTTGTTCCGGGTCTGGGTGTCATGTGTGTGTACGTGAAATTATATGTTTGTAACCGCACCCACGACACAGGAGAAAATCCGAATGTGGGGCAAATAAAAAAAAAATATAAAACACTACTTGACCAAAAATCATGACGGTACTACACACAAAGATAACTCATAGATAATTGTAGGAATACATCATAATAGTCGTTGCCTAATTGACCAAAAACGTTATACTAACATTATAAATGCGAAAGTAACTCTGTCTGTCTGTCTTTTCTTCGCGCCTAAACTACTGAACCGGTTTCTGTGTAATTTGGCACAGACATGGTTTGGAACTCGAGAAAGGACATAGGATAGTTTTTATACCAAAAATCTGCAGGAAGTCACTATTCCACGCGAACGGAGTCGCGGGCAAAAGCTAGTATATAATAAATAAGTAAGTTTTAGCAAATTACCGCCCGTTAATAAAGAAATAAGTAGGCAGCAGGTGTTAAATAAAAAAATACACCAATTTTTTTTTAATTAGTAAAGCTTTGTTTTTTTTTTTGCAGCATAAGATGTCATCTACCTATAATTCTCCGCAAAGTAACGCCTGATCCTATCCTGTATGCTTGACAAAACTTTAGCCGAAGCACTTAAATAACAGATAATGTTATAAGAATGGCCACAGATATCTTATTTCTAAAGTTAGACGGCCATAACAGTAAATTAGCGGCATAATAGGGCGAAGGCGGAAGCAGGCTGAACAAGCTAATGTCTGTGCCTCCGTGGAAAACGAAATGCGGCAACATGGCGGCGCCGGCCTGTCTGGCGCCAAAATTTTCCCGCGTGAGACTTAGTAACGTCATTACTCAAAGCTTCCTACCATTCCAATCTGATATCTATTCCCAGCTCTTAAAGTTGAAAATTTTATAGCAGATTTATGCAGTTTCAGTATTGACTTTTCAATATATAAGTGGTATGCGTTTTGCGCTACTATTTTAAGCGGCATAGAATTTTAGTCCTTACATTTAATGAAATAGAGTTGAGATTACGTTGTACTACAGAATTTGCTACTGTAATATTTTTTTCTATGGAGAAGCTTTGTCTGGGTGGCGCCAAAAATACTTGGAGGTGGTTTAATGAATTTGGAACCTTATTGAAAAGTTGCTAGAGTTGATATCTTTGTAGTATAGGAAACAGGTTTTTGTGAGGATATACCTATCCTGTGATGTTACATTGAGACCGTATAATATATACGTACATATAATATTATGTATATAAGAAAGTTTATACTTTGATTGTATTATGATATCAAGCATTTCTTTTGTTTTTAATTATTTGATTGTCAGTCCGCATATGTGAGCGCCATGGTCGAGACGATAAAGGATTTAAAATTTAATATTACTTAAAAGAATTAATTTCACTGTTTGTTTTTAAGACTTATTTTCAGCGTTGTTCTCACAATATTGTATAAAAAATTCATTGGTGATACCTATTGTAAGTAATATATTTTTTAAAAGAGTAACCATTGAGTTTTTTGCCCGTTCTTGATTCTTCATTTGAATCTACAATTTGAAACTAGCTTCATTGACGAACTGACTGACGGACAGACTATTAATCCTATTTTTACGTTTAAAAAAAAGTTTATAAATATTTACTATGGTTTTGTTGGAACAAATGTTTTTTGACTTTGACTTTGACTTCCATCTGCGATTTTGTTA